TAGACTCTGCCTTTTTATATCCTTGTTACTCAGTTTGCTCACCTGCATATACATATAAATAGTGAGTTAAAGCCCAACGAGTAATAACAGAATAAATAAGTTAAATGAATGAAATTTGACGATAGTACAAAGACATGTCTTACAAATTTGAAATGAATTTTAAATCGTTTTCAAAGTGAGGCATTTGACACATTATATCAAATTTACAACAAAACATTTTCCATGTCGAATCCCATATCAAAACATATCTTCCAATTTTCGAAGCAATCCATTTTAATAGGCAGAATATTTTGATTAGCAATCATATCATCTCTTTACAATAACAAAAGCCATTTGTATCATTATATGTGGTACATCCATGAAACAATAATATTCCAATAATAATGGACCACGATGGGTCAAACACTAGAGATCTCAATGTTTCAGTCAATCCCAATAGTCATGGTATTGTTACCTCTAGGCAAGGGGCCTATAATCAATGGATGCCACAATACAGTTTCAAAAGTGAATTTCATTCATCGATAGAAGATAACATTTTAATAAACCATTCAATCGATCGCATATTGATTTCAAGAACAATAACAATTACAAAAATAAATATTAGTCAGACATATCTTCATAAAGTTACTACTCACAGTGGGTTAAATCGATATAAGGTCTCGGACGTCCATCTATACAAATCACATAACAAAGATACAATAGAAGTACCATTCAATATGTATTTCATTTTAATTCAACTCTTTTTATGTGTTTTACCTTATTCCATGACTATATGAGTTCAATTAGTGCCTACGAATACTTAGAATGTCATGAGGATGCAAATAGACACTTAGAAGAGTTAGTCAAAAATTGCTGAAAACAGGGTCTTTACTCGAGCGCACCTCTGTAAAAATACTGGATGACCTCAATGTTTGCTCAAGCGGTTAGCAAATTTTCTGTGCTTTTTGAAAATCAACGAAAATAATTTCCAAACACATTTTTAAAACTTAGACTCTTGCATGAACCAATTTAAACATGTAATTTTTATTAATAAAGATGAACTCTTGACCAATTTTCTAATTTCTAATACAAAAATTTCTTTGATTATTAAGATTAAAACCAATAATTTCATGAATATAATAATTTCAACATTTTTCTTCTTTTGTGTTATAAAATATAAAATTAGAACTATAAAGCTCTTTAAAAGAAATATTTGCATATATGAAATTCAAATCAAAATCAAACTAATTTTTGATTCTCAAGTATAAATTGTAATTTATTTCAAAATTTGTCCAAATTTAGATTTAATTCATTTTCTTTATATTAAACTCATAAATTTTAAAATATGAATTAAACTTTCAAAACTCTTGAAAATTTCATGATATAAAAATAGAACCCAATTTCATTATTAATAACAAAATTCAAACTTAATTAATGAATTACAAAATCAATTTCAAAATTTCAACTTAACTCAATCGTTAACCAAAACTTAATTTATGATCATATATCTTCCCAAATGTGTTTAAATTGAATAAAACTTTTAAATTAAATTACATGCATGGATTAAAAATCAAAATCAAACAAATTCCTAATTTTCAAAGCTTTTCATTTTTCTCTTCAAAGTATGAGATTGAATTGGTTCAAATTCTTCAAAATCCATGATGCATGTATAACTAGAGTATTTAACTTGTAGATTTTGACAATGAGGCTTAATTTCATGCAAGACTACAACATCAAACCCAAAATAATTAATTTCCATAACCATGAGCCTGACTTAATTTCTTCATCTTTATTTTCTAATTCTTTCCAAATATATATGAAATTGGAGCCAAATTCATCTTTAATTTCAAGTGTGATAGAAGGATTCTACAAAAATCAAAATTAAAATTCTTACCTTTAATCTGCAATTTGATAAATTTCTTGTTGGCCTTTCATTTTCTTTTCTTAAATTTCCTTCAAAACTCACCAGCACAAAAGCGCTCTCTCTCTCTCTCGGCTGTGTTCTTTCCCGCCAAAACAAATAGATGATGAATAGCAATCTACTGCACCGGCTTTCTTCATTCCACTTTCTTCTCCCCCCTTATATATATATATATATCAGCACCGCTACAGACCCTCAGTGGGGGTCGCACCCCCACTGGCCGAAACTTAAAAAAAAATAATAAATAAAACAGTTTCTTTTTTTATCCAATCAGCACCTGCCACTTCACTGGGGGTCGACCCCCAGTGGGGGTCCGAAGCATTAATCATATACATATATATATATATATATGCATATATTAAAATGGTGGAACACTCTAATTCTCTCATATTATTTAATTGGCTTGATTAGATTATTTCACCAATCACATATTAACATAATTAATCAATTGTTAATCTTAATTAATTATCTCTAATCATCAATTTAATTAATCTAATTAACTTCAATTAAAACCCAATTAATTATATTTAATTTTTATCATTCTGAATCAAATTTTTAATCAAATTCTCAAAAGGCTCCAAATATTAAATTAAACTTATTGTCATAATCAATTTTGATTTCTCAAATCATTTAGGCTTTCAATTTTTGATCAGATTCAAATTTCCGTCAATAAATTACATATTCAAAATGGATACCTCATAATTAAATTTAATTCATAATAATCACAATTCCTAATCTTCATAACTTGATCAACTTCAATTCGGACCCAATTAATAAAATCTCAATTTTACTAAACTGAATCGAATATTTAATTAAACTCCCTTATGATCCAATACTCGAAGTTAAAATAATTCAATTCGTCAATTTCACGTGAGCAACTTAAGCTTTTAATTTATAATTTTAAAATAACTCTTTTATAAAATTATATACGAATCAACCCCAATATTGTTCATCAATTCCACAATTAAATCGGAATAATAATTAATGAAAATCTAAATCACCATGATTAATTAAATGTAAAATATTTTATGTGGCGGGGTCGTCACAATTACACTAACAGTCTCTATAATTTGAGATTTGTGTAACTTTGATATATGACTTTTCAATTGTGACACATTCAATCCTGAATTTTAAATTTTGTTCCAAATGAGGACAATTGAAGATATCATTGTTCAATTTCAAGAACATAGTCGCCAATTTGATAAAATATAAACTAATTTGACAAAAATAAATGTCAAAAAAATATTTTGAAATTTTTAAAAATTATTTCTACCCACTAACGATAAAATTATGTAAGATTGATAAATCTTTTACACATTTATTTATTTTGTTTACCAAATTAATTTTTATTATGTGTTTGGATGATGATCATGTAATGAGTGGTTGTTAGGATTTTAATGTGTAATCAATATATTTAATATATGAATTTTTTTAGTTTTGAATTTTTTGATTTAATGGATTGATTTAATAATGATATCAAAGTTGTCGTCATATTTGACTTTTGAAAAAATATAAATTAATTTAATGAAAATAAAAACAACTATTCATCATCATCCAAACACGTAATAAAAATTAATTTGGTAAAATAAATAAATGTGTAAAAGATTTATTAATTTTATATAATTTTATTATTGATGGGTAGAAATAATTTTTAAAAATTTAAAAATATTTGTTGACATTTATTTTTGTCAAATTAATTTATATTTTATCAAATTGACGACTTTGCCTTTGAAATTAAGCAATGGTATATTCAATTATCCTTATTTTGAATAAGATTTAAAATTCAGGGTCAAATATTTCACAATTAAAAAGTCAGAGATTAAAGTGACACAAATTTCAAATTATAAGAATCTTTAGTGTAATTCGCCATTTTAAAAATAAATCTTGAGTACTTTTAGCATGCTGAATATTATTTTTTATTTCTCATAAATTTGTAGTAATTTATTCTACTTGTTATTTTAAATTTCCCTTATAAAATGAGTCAATACAAAATGATGAGATAGTTACATTGTTTTGAATTTATTTAAATTTTTTTTTTTATGGTTTTACTCACATCATTCAAAGTAAAATTTAAAGTATATTTAATTTAATAATTTTTTTATTTATATATTATTTTCACCAGAAAAAATAAAACAAACAAAAACATGTGTCATATTTTTAATTTTTTTTTTTGGAATGAAAATAAGAAAAAATGCATGCACTATAATGATACTCAAGCTTCACACCTCAAAAGTGAGCACCTCCCAGCTCCACCACATGTCAACCTTTAATTTGGAGGGTTGTCTTGAATAGTTAATGGGTATATTTTTCACACAATTGTTTAGGATTTAATTCTTGGAATCAGATTATGAGAAAGAAATTTTTTATGAATTTTCTAATTCCGACGTGAATAGTCTGAGAAGGGATTAATTGAAGCACACGTAAGGTGATCCAAATACCCTTATCAAACCCCCCCCAAATTTCAACCTTTGGTATTAACTTTCACATGCATAAAATATTTGTGATTCTCTATATTTGGGTGATTCAATTAGAAAACTACTTTGAGTTTAGTAAGGTCTCATTTGGCAAGTGGTGATTTTAATAAAAAAATTAAAAAATCACTAAAAAAATCAAAAAGTTAACTTATACCAAAAAATCAAAGAATCCATTTTCTCTCTACTTTTTGTATATTTTTTCGTAAAAAAATCAAAAGGCCATCCCAAATATACTAGTTTTTTTATATCATATTTTAGTTAAAAAGCTAAAAAGTTACTAAAAAAAACCTATTTCCAAACGAGGCTTAAGTAAGTTGGATCATTGTTCCTAGGAAAATTAGAAATTGAGATAGAAGATCAAAAATAATTATAAATACATGAGACTACAAATTTTTCTATGCAAAAATATTACAGAAAAATAAAAGTTACATCTCATTTTTGGTAAATAATTTCTCCACTACCAACTATCTTGTAATTTTTTTTAAAAGAACTAATATAAAAAATAAAATTTATTAAATATTAATAATCTCGTTATGTTGAATTTAAAAAAAATAAATAATTTATGATCAAAATCATACATATTACTATTATTTTAGTATTTGATAATTTTTATGTCAAGCCATAGTGAAGCCCTCGCTAGTCGGTGACTCGCATCCGCTGAATACATTGAAATTCGAACGCTTTTTGACAACCGACCTTGGGGTTCCTAGAGCTCTTTAAAAAGCTTTTATTTTACCGCTCAGACATTATAACAAACGTTTGGCCTACATAGCGAGAAGAAGTAGAACCCAAGAACCGCGAAGACTGAGAGAGAGAGAGAGATGAAGTACGTGTTGGTGACTGGAGGAGTGGTAAGTGGGCTGGGCAAGGGCGTGACGGCGAGCAGTATTGGCGTCGTCCTCAAAGCCTGTGGCCTTCGCGTCACCTCCATTAAAATAGGTTCGTCCTTGCTTTTCCCCTCTTGTTTCTTCATTTTTTCCTCTGCATGTTTGTTTCAATCTTCGTTTCTTTGAGGTATTTGATCTATGATGCAAAACTGTATTGATCGGATTGCTATTCTCAATCACTTCGTTGTTTCCATGGTTTTTTGGGTTCACGTTATTTTTTTCTTTATTTATTTATTTATTTGGGTTGTCAGTGTGGGCGAAATATTTGTCAGTTTCTATTTGCTTATATGGTCCTTTTGGTTTACTCATAGGTGGTTATCGTATATACTGTTGTTGGTTTTCCATATTACTACTAGTTTAATTCATTTTGGATACCTTTTGTCTTTGTTCAGGTATTGACAATATATGGTTATGTATCAATTTATGGGATTCTTTATTTCTGTCAAGTTTTCCTCTTCTCTTTCACCCTTATTAGGCCATCTCCAACGCTTGAACAAACAAAAATTGTACTCAAATTTGAGTAAAAGCTTCACTAAAATGGGAAATGTGAGTCACAAAAATGCCTTGAAAATTTGAGTAAACATTTGATTCTCCTTTGATTTTGGGTAAAAATTTGAGTAAAACTCAATTGGGTTTAAGTTTGGATCAAGGAGTGGAGGTTGTTTTGAGTGCTTTTTACCCAAATTAAAATTTGATATAAGTTTGAGTTGAGGATTGGAGATGTCCTTACTTGTCTTTTTTCAGTATTATTGTGTCTTCTGCATTTTATTCTTTTTAAAATTTTCATGCACTGTTCCTTGATTAGCTGGGAAATTATGTCAAGAGCTACTTTTATTATTTCCTTTTGCATCACAGTTGCTGTGACTGTTTTCTATAATTGCAGATCCTTACCTTAATACGGATGCTGGTACCATGTCTCCCTTTGAACATGGGGAAGTGTTTGTGCTTGATGATGGGGGAGAGGTTTGTTTACATTCATCTCTTACAGACATTATGACAATATCTTTTGTTTTTCCCTAAATGTAAAATAAGATAACCTCATGCGTATCTTGTAAATTATATCATTTACTGGAAAAAATTTAATGCTATTAGTCTTTATAACTTGAAGTCTTAAAGATTGCTTTCTTTCATTTTGTTATCATGGATATGCATTTTTAATTCAATTGAATCCTTTATACGCAGTACAATCATTAATTATCTGAATGGTACGTTAAATTTATCCAATAATTACACTTCATTGGTGGTTGCATATTTGCAAGTCAATCAGCCATTGGAACTTTGGTAGAAGTCTATCAATACAGTGCTACATTTTGCAGAGGTTGAAGTTGGCCAAGTTGTTAGTCCTTCTCTTTAATATTTTTTGAGTTGATAACTGTAAAATGATGCCGACCCCATTTGATGGGATTTAAGGCTTGGTTTGGTATAACTGTAAAATGATGTGTAAATGGTGCTCATTCTTGAATACTTGTTTTAGAAGTGTCTAGTGTACCGAATGACGCTACGTTTGAAACATCAGTTACTATCTGTGAAAATTTGCAGTATGAATTATTATCGGGGATATATTGTTAAAATCCAGGGATTTAAGGCTTGGTTTGGTATAACTGTAAAATGATGTGTAAATGGTGCTCATTCTTGAATACTTGTTTTAGAAGTGTCTAGTGTACCGAATGACGCTACGTTTGAAACATCAGTTACTATCTGTGAAAATTTGCAGTATGAATTATTATCGGGGATATATATATATATATTTATATATTTTTCTTCTGTTTTGTCCATGTTTGTATCTCATGCATCAAACAGTTGTGTTATGGAATACTGCAACACTCTTACAAAGATATTTTCCTCGTCTTCCTGTTTTATTTGAGTTTTGAAAGTGTTCATATTTTTCACCTGGTGTGCTCTTGAAAGGTTGATCTGGACCTGGGTAACTATGAGCGATTCTTGGATGTGACGCTTACTAGAGAGAACAACATTACTACAGGAAAGATATATCAGGTGCATAAATTAATATATATTTGTCGTTGCCAATCTACCACTTCCTGATTTCTAGAAATTTTTCAAAGATGACAAGTTGTTCTGTTTTATCAGTCTGTCCTCGACAAGGAGCGCAGAGGTGATTATCTTGGAAAGACTGTTCAGGTGTCTACATTTATAGAGAATTTATATTTTTTACTTCACACAAAGAGTACTTGCTGACTGCTCTGTCACCTGTTTGAGTGTATTTCAGGTGGTCCCACACATCACAGATGCAATTAAGAATTGGATTGAAATGGTATCTGCCATTCCTGTTGATGGGAAAGAGGGCCCAGCAGATGTTTGCGTGATAGAATTGGGTGGGACTGTTGGTAAGAGCCCTTTAGAGCAAAGAATCCTAGATACTGAAGTTTCTCTATCTATTTCTACTTATCTGCTGCAGTTAAATTTTTGTAATATTCTTTTTTTTTTTTAAGGTGACATTGAATCAATGCCATTCATTGAGGCTTTACGACAATTATCCTTCTCAGTTGGTAAGTTGCTTACCGTATATGATCAGTCTACTTAAGTTCTTATGTCTGAGGGATCATCATTCACATTGCTAGTTTTGTCAAGCTATAGGATATGATGTGTATTGATTTAGTATGGACCATCCAGTTGGCATCATAGATGTATTTGGGCTAGTTTTGTGAATAAGCTTATTAAGATCTTTACTGAGTACTATTGAACATGATGACATAGTTAATCTTGTGAAACTTCAATTATCTAATCAACTGTAATTTATAAGCATGGAGTTATTTTGTATGGTCGATCAATGAATAATTTCAATTTACATGTGCATATGGTTGTATTAGAAATAGACGCCCCAGTTGAGTGTGTGATAGCATTTTCTGATGTGTTAATGCATGTGCATCTGTGTCTTGGGTTTCTCTATGTTCACTTGCAATTTTTCTTGTTAATTTCTTGTTTCTTCTTCAGGAAAAGATAATTTCTGCCTCATTCATGTGAGCCTTATACCTGTACTGGGTGTTGTTGGAGAGCAAGTAATACTTCATACCTTTAATAGTTTGAGCCTTCTTTTCTACTTGCAAGCTTTGTTATGTTCTCACAGATGGAATTTTTCTGCTTTTCTCAAAGATCATGGCTGTTCATGTTCCCTGAGACTTGGTGTTTCTTTTCTCTCTGTGTATGTGTACATGCAGAAAACAAAGCCTACACAACATAGTGTGCGGGAATTGAGAGCATTGGGCTTGACTCCTCATTTGTTAGCTTGTCGTTCTGCTCAGGTATGCTGTTTTAACTTGTATCTTTGTGGTACCCACTTGTTTGCGAGAGTTCTATTTTTTTTTTTTTCTGACTAGTTGCGTGCAAGAGATTATATGAATGAAATTGCTTTGGTGTATGGTTATTGTTGGTGGGTTCCATGGTTCATTGCACAATTTATTGTAGTTGCTTGCAATTTGGTTGTCTCACGTGAAACACATCCTGTTGTAGTTTTGGAAAGGGCGTGACAAATTCAAGTAGTGATAAACTTTATGGTACATCATTCTTTTATGTTTTCAGCATTAGAAAATTACCTGGTCTTTTGATCTTGACTCGATACCCTGCTGGCTGGCATACCGGTACCTTTAATACTACTGTGATTTTTTGTTTTACTACAAAGAAATGATTCTAAAAGAGCTTTTTGGAAAACTGGTTACTCCTCAAGTCTTGCCATTTTCTCTTATTTGTGTTCACTTAACTTTGATGATATAATAAACTATGGTTTTTGTTAAAATTGCAGCCTTTATTGGAAAATACAAAGCAGAAGCTTTCACAGTTTTGCCATGTTCCAGTAAGAAGTTATTATTGCAAATTCGCTCATGGTCTTTCATTTGATTTTATTCTCACAGTTGATGAATTTTGTATTTCTCCGTGGTTTCTCACAGGTTGGTAATATTCTTAATATCCACGACGTCCCTAACATTTGGCATGTTCCACTTTTACTTCGGGTGGGTTTATTGACAGGGTTGATTTTCCTGGGGCCTTACTGTGCTTACTGTGTTCTCTTTAACAATTTCGTTGTTTCTTAACAGAGTTCCTGACTTGTACTTCTTTTCCAGAACCAAAATGCTCATGATGCCATCTTAACACAGCTAGACTTACTCAGGTAAGCTTATGTTTTATACATTTCTTACATCTTAAGCTTCTATTTCTTGACCAGAGAATCCTTCCTAAATTTACCAAGGCCAGTTCAAACTTTGTTTTGGACCAACTTTGACTGCTCTTTTTGATAATTTTTTTTTGACTGTCACCATGTGATTTTGGCAAGTGCATATATAGATCATAATTTGTAAGCATGTCAAAATTGTTATTACTGTAATAGGGAAACCTGGTTGAATATTGAATATTGAATATTGAAATTAGATAGGTTGACTATTGTTCTGAATAGTTATTAGAGTTCTGTTTCAGTGTCGCTACGCCTCCTGATTTACGAGAGTGGACCAAGAGGGCAGAAACTTTTGACAATCTCACCAATCCTGTTAGTATAATTGGCTTGTGGTTCCCTCTCTTGACATGAAACTCATTTTTCGTCAAACAATTAAAAGCCGTTTTCTGCAGGTGAGGATCGCAATGGTTGGGAAGTATGTTGGCTTTGCAGATTCCTATTTGTCTGTTGTGAAGGTGAGATTTTTTTTCCTTTGACAAGACTTTTATTATGCTTAGCTCACGTGAGGGGACGTTACCTTTTGCAGAGCCAGCCATAAAAACTTCGAATGCATCATTAAATTCATCGATCACAAGTGTTTCTATAACATAAATTTTCAATGAAGACAAGATTAAAAAATGCAGTCCCAAACGATCTTCGAATTTAATTGCTAAACCTCATTATTTGTCTAGAATGTTAAAAGATATGATGAAAATATTACAGGCACGATCTCAATTCCTTACTTTTTTTAGAGTGGCTTAATGTGGGGATGCTCCTTTCTGCGTCAATGTGTGGCACCTAATTCAGAGCCCAAGATACAGTAGTTTGGTTGCTTGATAGAGCTAGTATGATGCCAACTACCTGTCTTTTCTATGCTTCATTTCTCATGCAGGCTCTTCTGCATGCTTGTATTGCGTGTTCATTGAAGCCATTAGTTGACTGGATTGCAGCTTCAGATCTTGAAGATGAAACTGCAAAATTGGTATTGGGCCTTTGCTAGTTGTATGTTGGATATTCTATCATGTTTGAGGACAATGTGTTATTTCATTGTTCCTTGTGCAGACACCAGAAGCTCATGCTACTGCATGGAAGACATTGAAGGTAAGTTTTGTGGTATCTCTTTCTCTTCTTCTTGTTTGCCTTAGTATTTTGGTGTGTGGCATCTTCTTTTTGTTCTTATATTTTTCTTCCCAATAGGTCACACATCTTCAATAATTTGTTTGTATTCGAAAGGGAACTCTCTTGTTTTGCGAATCACATTATTTAAAACATAGTTTACATAACATGAAAAACCAAGTTTTTAAAGACCTTCTAGACCAGATCATTGGTTGAATTTTTTGTTGACTGATTATGGGTTAGACTCTGGTTGCATATATGGTTCAAGATGCACATGATACACAGGTGGCATTCATGTAGTTGGGTCATTGGAATTGTTGCCTTGAGCCTTACTCAATTTGTGAATTTTGTAATGTCTTTTGATATCATAGGTGATATATATGCCTTTCTTTTCTCTTTTTTTTTTTTTTTTTTTTTTTCGTGTGTGTGTCTTTTCCTGATTTGTTTTGTTTTGTTTTTTCTTCTTTTTCTACGTGGCATCCCCTTTGATGCTTTTTTCTAATACATTTTTTTTAAAGACAAGAAATTTTAGCTCTCCTTAAGAATAGAATGATTAAGGACAAAATGGATTTTGAAATAGGAAACTAGTTCTATGTGAATGAGGTGACCAGTTGTACAAAAAAGTGGGAAAGTATAAGGATGGTTGTGTGATTGCACGATTCCTATTAAGTTGAACATGTGAATTGAGGAGTAATTTGATCCATGTGGAGGGTGATTAAAAAAAAATAGAGGAAAACCAAGGAGAACCAGAGATGTGGTGATAAGAAATAACATGATTAACTTAAATTTAATTGAGGATATAACTTCAAATAGAATCAATTGGAGGAAATAATTGACCCCAAGTAATTGGGATATTGATTTGTTTAGTTGAGTACTTTTCAGAAGAAACAAAGAATATACACACACCTCACATAAATTGTCTCTATTTACATTATTTATTTTCATGATTACAGAAGAACATTGTAGAAATTTAATGTATAAAGAGAAATGATTGTATTATTGATTGTTATATGTTGTTATATATTACAAATGGTGAGGGGCTCCTTATATAGGAGATGTAGTGGAGTAGGTGGTAGTGGTAGGTGTGTAGTAGGTGGTGGTAGGTGTAGTAGGTGGAGTAGGTGATGGTAGGTTTTAACAAACATTATTGGGAATTTTCTAACCTCTTTGTATTAGTTGTTGGCTATATGGCCAAATCTTCTGATTTTCCCCTTTCCCAGCAGTCTTACGGTTCCTGTAAGGGAATGGTTCTGAAATGCTGTACAAACATTCATAAGATGGTTTACCATTTATTGGGGTTTTGGAGTAGCAATTTGCTGCTGGATTAAATATTTGTTTGGAATTTGGTATAAATAGGTTTGTGATTGTTTATCACTGTTTCATGTTTCTTCCGTTCATGCCATGTTATTTTTTATACCAAGCTTCCCTCCCTTTACATGGATACATGTTATCTATAGACGCATGTTTTTCTTCCTTCTTTTTATTTTTATTATATTTTTAATCTTTTTGATAGTTGAGTGTTGAGCATACTATTTGTTCATTTCATACCTAAGCAATGACCATCTTGACTGTTCTTAAGCTGGTATTGAGTAGGACTGCCATTAATTTTTTAGTTAGAATATTTTCACCAAATCATACAAATTTGGTTACCCAAACATTTTCAGAATGCAGCATGTGTCTTAGTTCCTGGTGGATTTGGAGATCGTGGTGTGAAAGGAATGATGTTAGCTGCAAAGTATGCCAGAGAAAATAAAGTTCCATATCTTGGGATTTGCTTGGGCATGCAGATTTCTGTAATTGAGTATGCTAGATCTGTAAGTGACTTTCCTTCCAATATATTGACAAGTTTTATATGACAGACCATGTACTAACCTTATTTTCATCACATGTTTTAGGTTTTGGGTTGGGAAAAGGCAAACAGTACAGAATTTGACAACGAGACACCCAATCCTGTTGTAATTTTCATGCCGGAGGTACTTGCGTTGTATTATATTTTTTTGAGCTATTCCTTTGCAAGAAACACTGGTTATATAGCAAATTAATAACCATCATCTTTCTATATTTATACAGGGTTCAAGAACACATATGGGAAGCACAATGAGACTGGGGTGTCGCAAAACGCTGTTTCAGACTCCTGATTGTATCACTGCAAAACTGTAAGAGATATCAATGCTCCATTTAATAATTTCCAAAAGTGAACCCAACATCCCTTACTGCGAGATATGAATGTCCAAATTTTCCAATCAAGTTTCTTTGATTTTTTCTTCTTCCTTCATGCATGCATAATACTATATTCTCTGTTTATTTCTAGGTACCATAATTCAGAGTATGTGGATGAACGACATCGGCATAGATATGAGGTTAGTCATGAAGATTGATTTGGCCGAAGAAAAATGTTCATAGACATAATACTTCTTATCACGGGATATATACTTGCCCATGGCATTATTGTTACAGGTGAATCCAGATATGATTGACATGTTAGAAGAAGCTGGCTTAAAATTTGTAGGGAAGGATGAAAGTGGAAAGCGAATGGAGGTTAGATTGCTCATCAGACTTTAATGGTCGGATGAGCTTGACAAATTGATAATAATGAATTGGTTAAAATCTCAATTTCATTTTTTCTTCTTGAATTGGTTAAAATTTCGATTTCATCCTAAAAAACTGTCCAATTGGTAGTTTATGTTAGGGTTATACTTTTCTTCCAATGATTGTTGAATTTTGAATTATTGCTAATATTTTCCTTTACTTTCTCCAGATCTTAGAACTTCCCGGTCATCCATTCTACGTGGGAGTGCAGTTCCATCCAGAATTTAAGTCACGGCCCGGGAGGCCTTCAGCTCCGTTTCTTGGTATTTAGTGGTTAAATGAATTTATGCATCTCATTGACTGACTATTTTAACCCAGATCTAAACAATTCCATCTTAAACATACCAAGGTGGGAGGTATTGAAATGTTTGTATGCAGTTCATGAAAGGTTCTTTTTGTTATATATACATTCAAAAAAGATCATTCACTTTAATTGAATGAACCTTGCAGAGGAAGTGTTAGGTTTTCACAACATTAGCTTCTCACTCATGTTTGTGTTTTTCAAGCCAATATTTTCACTTTGGCTTCATTTGCTATTGTTCACATGAGGCAGTAGTAATGACTTGCGCTTCTGATCTAAGAGAAGATAGAAAAAAACTTCTAATGCTCCTCCTTTCAACGTGGGAAAAGGGGAGTTTTACGTCCTCCAAGAATTGAACAGTTCACTTTTTGTGTATGGGATTTGCATTCACACTTCTTGATCCTCGATAAATAAACTAAAGGTCGGGCGATGACTGGAAAACTACCATTTTCTGTACAAAAATCAACAATGATGACCAACTGAAATTTCTAGTACATTTTTTGAAAAATATAATGTATTATTGATTGATTGATTGTTACAAGATTGATTTATACAATTCCTATACAATCTATATATAGAAGAAAATGTGGTAGTAGGTGTAGTGGAGGTGATAGTGGGTTAGGTGAAGTGGAGTGTGTGGTGAAGTGGAGGTAGGTGAAGTGGAGTGTGTAGTGGAGTAGGTGAAGGTAAAGATGGGAAATTCTAACATTTTTCCAAAGCACTCGCTAGTAGAATCCATGTGGAATCATGTCGTGCTATCTGCTTCCCAATCGACTAATTGCCACTATGTAAAAGCCAGCAGATTGCTTTAATTCGATGCCTTGTATACAATTCCATAAGGAAAAGTTGATTAACTGTATTTTTATTCCAGTATAAGCTTTTTCCTAATGATCTATCTATCTTCTATCTTAACTGTTAGAATTTACCATCACCTACCACACACTTACCATCACCTACCACACACTCACCTACTACACTCACCTAATCCTCACCTACCACCACCTAACCTACATCTATATAATCAATCAATTGTGACACAACAATCAATATCAATCAATAATAAGATCATCAGATACATTTATTCTCTCTGTATTTTTCTCTTTATACGGGGGGGCGGCAGCCTCGCCTTGGCCGCCCGCCGGACCTCTACACATACCTTCACTATCGCTGTCATATTCATCACCCACCTTAGGACCTCCGCTATCTTCAAAATCTGCGCCTGCTCCGCCTCCCTCTGCCGCTGGAGCTCCGACTCGGTGACTTTAGGCACTGGAATCAACACTCTGTTCGCTTTCTTATTGGGCTTGCGTCTAGCTTTCTCGAGCTCCTTCTCCTCCTGTTCGGCGATCCGGCGCGCCTCTGCTTTGCGAGCGGCTTCCTCGGCGCGTTTCTCCTTCTCCTCCTCCCGCTTCTTGGCGGCGCGCGACTTCGAGCCCTCGGCTTCGCGCCAGTACTGGTCTTCTTTATCTCCAGCAACGGAACATCGCGATCTTTGCGTTCGACTTCGCTGGCTGTCTTCCGTGCCCTCGCCTCCTCGGCTTTGCTGTTCACGCACATCTTCTTCGGCATCGTCTCTTCAGCGTTCTCCGTCCACATCCGCGAGGTCCGTTGCTGGCTCTTATGCTAAAAGCATCACCCTCTGAAACCTCATTGGTGTTTCCAACATCCTCGAGCTCTCTCTCTTCAAGGCCATGATAAATAAATAAATAAATAATAAGGGCAGCAGCGGCTGTCTCTCTTCTTCTTTTTATTTTTTTATTTTATTTAAACCAATCTCCACCACCAGCACCAAACATGCTCCTCTGCATACCCCAATAAACACACTGTTGATCACCCCGAATCTTCTTCTTTTTCTTTTATCTATTTCTTTTCATTTTTTAATTCCTTCTCCTCTTTTCACACTTTCAAGTCCAACTTTTGTCCCCCCTCTTTTTCTTTCTTTCTTTTTTCCTTTTCCTCACCCACGATTCTTTTCCTTACACTCTTGTTCCTGTTTTTCTACAACGGTCCGACATGACCCCATAAACTGTTTTTCTACAACGGTCCGACATGACCCCATAAACTGTTTTTCTACAACGGTCCGACATGACCCCATAAACTGTTTTTCTACAACGGTCCGACATGACCCCATAAACTGTTTTTCTACAACGGTCCGACATGACCCCATAAACTGTTTTTCTACAACGGTCCGACATGACCCCATAAACTGTTTTTCTACAACGGTCCGACATGACCCCATAAACTGTTTTTCTACAACGGTCCGACATGACCCCATAAACTGTTTTTCTACAACGGTCCGACATGACCCCATAAACTGTTTTTCTACAACGGTCCGACATGACCCCATAAACTGTTTTTCTACAACGGTCCGACATGACCCCATAAACTGTTTTTCTACAACGGTCCGACATGACCCCATAAACTGTTTTTCTACAACGGTCCGACATGACCCCATAAACTGTTTTTCTACAACGGTCCGACATGACCCCATAAACTGTTTTTCTACAACGGTCCGACATGACCCCATAAACTGTTTTTCTACAACGGTCCGACATGACCCCATAAACTGTTTTTCTACAACGGTCCGACATGACCCCATAAACTGTTTTTCTACAACGGTCCGACATGACCCCATAAACTGTTTTTCTACAACGGTCCGACATGACCCCATAAACTGTTTTTCTACAACGGTCCGACATGACCCCATAAACTGTTTTTCTACAACGGTCCGACATGACCCCATAAACTGTTTTTCTACAACGGTCCGACATGACCCCATAAACTGTTTTTCTACAACGGTCCGACATGACCCCATAAACTGTTTTTCTACAACGGTCCGACATGACCCCATAAACTGTTTTTCTACAACGGTCCGACATGACCCCATAAACTGTTTTTCTACAACGGTCCGACATGACCCCATAAACTGTTTTTCTACAACGGTCCGACATGACCCCATAAACTGTTTTTCTACAACGGTCCGACATGACCCCATAAACTGTTTTTCTACAACGGTCCGACATGACCCCATAAACTGTTTTTCTACAACGGTCCGACATGACCCCATAAACTGTTTTTCTACAACGGTCCGACATGACCCCATAAACTGTTTTTCTACAACGGTCCGACATGACCCCATAAACTGTTTTTCTACAACGGTCCGACATGACCCCATAAACTGTTTTTCTACAACGGTCCGACATGACCCCATAAACTGTTTTTCTACAACGGTCCGACATGACCCCATAAACTGTTTTTCTACAACGGTCCGACATGACCCCATAAACTGTTTTTCTACAACGGTCCGACATGACCCCATAAACTGTTTTTCTACAACGGTCCGACATGACCCCATAAACTGTTTTTCTACAACGGTCCGACATGACCCCATAAACTGTTTTTCTACAACGGTCCGACATGACCCCATAAACTGTCTTCTACACCGTTATGACACCACCATACAGTGTCCTCTACAACGTTATGACACCCCATACAGTGTCTTCACCAACGGTCTGACACGACCATACAGTGTTTCCTATCCTTTTTTTTTATTTTTATGTATTTTCTTGTTTTGTTACTCTTTCCAAACTCAAGTTGGTTAGTTTCTATCCTCCTTGAGTTTGCGGGGGCTGTTAGAATTTACCATCACCTATCACACACTTACCATCACCTACCACACACTCACCTACTACACTCACCTAATCCTCACCTACCACCACCTAACCTACATCTATCGATGCCTTGTATACAATTCCATAAGGAAAAGTTGATTAACTGTATTTTTATTCCAGTATAAGCTTTTTCCTAATGATCTATCTATCTTCTATCTTAACACTTGTGATTTTGCATTGTAGGACTCATACTGGCAGCAACAGGGCAGGTAGAAGTGTATCTTAGCAATCATCAGAATGGAAGTCTATAAGAAACTTGTCCAAGTCTCAATACATCGGCATTACTTATACAAGGTATTCCATTATCTTTTCTTTTTATTATTAATTTTTTTTTGTAAGTTATTTTGTTACATGGAGGACCAAGGCCATAAACAGAAACTAACAGAGGAACCCTGTGACAAGACCTGATACAGCAGAGGATTCACCCTTTGAGTCGCATCATATTTAGCTAATAGTAACAAATCAGTCTGTAGTTTCCAGGGTAGATTAGTTTTTGAGATGATAAGATTAGAGGAAACCTTGAATTCTAAAAATTTGTCATACTGTTGACCCTTTAATCCTATTGATTATGCTTCTTGGGCCCTGTTGGTTTAGATTTAGACTTCACACAGTCAGCTTTGGGGTGGCAAGAAAGAACAGACTTGAGCTGCATCATCTAGTTGAAAAAGTAAGGAAGACAAAAAATTAAAACTGATTAGGATCCAGAATAGGTCTGGTCTTGGTTTTGTATTCTGTTTTCATGATGATGCTACTTCATCTGTTCATGCATGAAAACTAGAATATATAGTGTATGTGTTCTTCGCTTAAAGACCCACTTTTAGTTAGTTTAGATGGTTAAGCAGCCTAAGCTTTCAATCATCCTCCTATTGCTAGGGGTCGAGGATATATATGTGAGCTGGGGATTTGGAATTGAATATTCTCAAACCAGAATTGGTTGGTGACAGTGGCATTTACTCACAGATCATTGATCTCGTTGGGAAGTTGTTGGCACTTATAATGCCAATGCTTCCCCATTATGGTCTTTCGCCATGCCTTCAGTGAGATTGTAGTTGGAGTCTGAGGCTATATCACCACCATTGTAGGACTATTATGCATGGGGGTGCATGAGCCATATTTGTCAGCATAAGCCATATTTTTTGATTTCTCAACTTGCCGTATATCTTTATACTTTCTGGTTGTAGGAAAACAGATATATGCTTTATAGAGTGGATTGACGCACATTGAGATTAAAAGGGTGGACCCTCAGTGAGGTAAAATATAGATCTAAGCTGGAGAAAATGTGCTCCTTGCTGGATTTGAAAGTATTGCAACTAGTTGGCTCAAAGCCTAATGTGATTCTATTTTATGTTTATGTTCGGGTAGTTGCTATTTCTCCTCTCGCTTTGGTAGTGTATTTTTGTGGGAGATGGACGTCTCGGGTCTTCTATTGCATCCGACAAATATTGACTCAAAAAGTTTTTATTGGCGAGTTTAGCTCTAACTTGAAACAGTCTTTCTTGACATAAACTTGTAGGAGCAAGATACAAATGAATAATTTAAAATGCGATAACTTTGTGAGTGAAAAACATGCTTTTCGAGGCTTCTTAGCCATCTTGGTCGGAAAACTGAATTCATCAAATTATTAGAGCACGTGGCATGTACGTACTCAGAATTGCTTAGCTTTGATGCCGCCCCAACTTCAATTAAATCCATCTCTTACTCTTCTCATCCATCATTGTTGGTCCTTCGTTCGTCTAAGGCAAAATCAAATCTTTGGAAAGCATGAAAACTACCCATCTGTCATGCTGGACCCTTTTGCATCTGTCACAATTTGGGGACCTTTAGTGATATATTTATAACAATAACAAAAATTGCCCATGCATTGTATATTATTGGTTCTATTTTAATTCTTGAAGTATTTCCAAAGTATGTTTAGATTCCCAAATAACTTCAAAAAAAAAATTAATCACTTCTTGACATGAATTTTCTTTAAATTTTTAATTTTATTTAGTTATTATTATTTTTTAAGGAATATCTGGTAAGTTTGACTGCCAAGGGTTTGTGTCAATTTTTTTACTGGTCTTGGGATTTGTGCTCCGTTTTAAGTGAAAAATGATTTGCACCCCAATTTTGAAGACCCCCAGTGACCCCCAGCTGATGTGGTTCTTGAAGTATTTCCAAAGTATGTTTAGATTCCCAAATAACTTCAAAAAAAAAATTAATCACTTCTTGACATGAATTTTCTTTAAATTTTTAATTTTATTTAGTTATTATTATTTTTTAAGGAATAGATCTGGTAAGTTTGACTGCCAAGGGTTTGTGTCAATTTTTTTACTGGTCTTGGGATTTGTGCTCAGTTTTAAGTAACTTAGGTTTGACATATACAAAGCTTTTGATCAAGTTTGATCTTGGTTTTTGAAAATTGTGTTTGAATTTTTTGTTTTTAATAATTTTTTATTCCTTCATATTCTAGTAAATTTGTTTTCAACTTTTTAGACGCACTTAAAAAATTGTTTACTAAAAGCAAAAAATATGTATGTGTTAGTATTTTCTAGTGATTTTTATGTAATTTTTTTATTATAAATATTGTACTTTTTAGGTGCATGTAAAAAGAAAAAAATAAATAAAATATGATAAAGTTTATTAAAGATAAATAAATACAAAAAACAAAAAACTTGAAAGCAGTTTCAAAATTCTGAAAAGAACAATTTCCAACATGGAAATTGCTGGAATTTGACCTGATAGAATTGGTTTGTCGTATCTTAAACAGCACTGATATGTATCAAAGAGACTTCTATCATTCACTCTTACCAGTTTGTTGTAACGTTTAAGAAACTTAAAAAACAGACCATTTCGTGAAATGGGATAAACAAAAATAATAAACTTATTTTTTACAAATATATTCACTCAACCGAAGTCTCGGGCTCACACATGCAGCAATGCCTCTCTTATTACCATATATGTATAGGTAGTATATTTGCAAATCAAGCTAAGAACTTGATGATCAATTTGTGCCCCTATTGAGCATCTCATAATACTCTACATTTGATATCTGTCTCTGCAGCTTCATTTGCTCGTAGAATTTAGCTATGAACTGCTCTGCCTTGACATCAATCCCTTCATCACCCCTACTAATCGTCTCTTCACAAACCTCAGATCCATTATCATCTTCGTCGCTGATCATCAAGAAACTCTTCCTTTCTCTCTCATTGTAGTAACTCATATTGTCGTCGTCGTCGTCATTATTATCATTGTCGTTGTCGTCATCATTATTGCTGTCTTTGTCGGGGAAATCACAGTCAAAATCAATATGTGGATTTATGCATGGGATACAAGGCATCTGGAATCGCATGGACGTTGGACGGTGCATCCTGACATGGGTAATGGGAGTGTTCTCGAAGGATAGCTCTTGCTCTTTATAGTGTATTATTGCACCATGTTCAGATGAACACCCGAGGCTTTTGAGGAACTTGGGGAACAGACTTAGGTCCATCATGAATTTCCTCTTGAACGCACAACCGTTCCTTGCCCATAACAAGGCTAGACGGAGGAGGTTCCATGGTCTGTGTGCTATGTCTGATTTCTTCTTCAGCATCTTCGACTTAAGTAGTGTTGGGGCACAGGCACTAGGAATTTAGTACATCAGTAATGCTGTGAATAAATGAGAGAAATGCTTAGAACTTGATTTCTAGTTTGAGACAGTGCAGAGAAATGTGAGAGAGAGCATTTGAAGATATTTCAGTTTGAGAAGTTTGGAGCGATGAGAAGAAGAGAAGGCCGTGGCTATTTATAATAGTATAAGATTAAAAGATGAAATGATACGCGGTCTGTGTGAAAAGAGAGGGAAGTATGTGCAGTGCAATGCAGCTTCTGAAGAGACACGGCTTTTTAATTTTATAATCAAAATCAATATTACTTGCTTCAATAAGCACAACCAAACAAAATGAATTCAGTTGAAGAATGTATGTCAGTCAAATACAATCTATTTTCCCATTATGAGAGGATAAACAAGTGATAGGTCTCCGCCAATGTAATTTCAGATAGATGTTATTTTGTTGATAAAATGTTTTTTGAATTTTATTAAACAATTAGATTATTTATTTATTTATAGAAAGTATGAAATAAAAAATAAATATAAATAAATATATATATATATATATATATTATATTTTAACTATCTTGATATCAAAATTGGACAATATTTAATAAAATTCAATTAGAAAACTATTTAAAAATTTTGTTATATATTTAATTTACAAATTGCTATATAAAATATTTTTAAGTAATAAATAAATAAAAAATAGAAGTGTAGTTGCTTCTCTGCACTTCTTTCTAGATCATTTAGACTTGCATGCAAGTAATGTCAATAATGCGGGACCTCTCACCTATACTCCAGAAAAGTAAGGATAATAATCGAAGTGGTTTATGATTTTTTGAATTTTCAGATTAAATATTAAAAAAAATAAATAAAGTTTTACTTAATTAAGTGTTTGGAAAATTGAGACATTTGACAATAAGAATTTTTTGAAATTTCTTATGAACCTTAGACAACAGCTTAAGTAGTCTAACAATTGAACAATCTCTAATAATAACACCATTGGTTAAAAAAGGAGTCGCAGGTCATTTTGTGATGAGGGAAGGAAACTATGATGAAACTTGAAATTAAAATTTAGGTTTTACAGGTTGGGGTCTTTGTTGGGAAGTTGCCTTGGCATTTCTGTGTCTTCTCATAGAAAACCCCTCACAGAAAGCCAAAAGGATTAGACAATTTACAAGTAAACTTGCATTTAATTTATTTATTTTTTTTTAAAATTATTTGCCGAGCCTGTTTTTGCAAACAAAACCGTGTCTTTTAGGACTGCTATGATGTCATTTATTTTATATACAATAATTTCTTTTAATTGAGAAGAGTGTTACTACTCACAGCCACCTTTTAATAAACCTTTTCATAGTATTATTTGTTGGGTATACATTTTTTTATAGGAGCATGTGATTCAATTGATCTATTAAAATATTCAGAACCGCTATGTAGCTCGAAAATGAGCCCCCGAATTTGAAAATAGTGATTTTTGAATGTTTGGCCCAGTTCAAGCTATAAAACATTTCTCTATCAATTATCAAGAGTTAAAAGACAATATAAAAAGCAAAATCAGAAGATAAATATCACAATTCACAAAACTACCGATAAAAAATGAATCTACAAACAGAGTAATCAACATCTAAACAAAAACCCATCAAATAAAATCAAAACTAAAACTAGATCTTCCCAATTCCCATCAAACCCACACATATGAACGGCAATTGAATCACAAAAATCAATAATAAAAAAAGAAAAAGAAAAAACATAGAAAATTACCGAGGGAAGAAGGGGAAGAGCCAGAGAGGAACAGAGAATTAGGGGTTTGAAGCAAAACAATATTGGAATTGGAACCACCGACAGAGGCGGCGTAGACCACCCTCCGAGCCGCTATGGATAATGGGTATGAAGATCAGATTGTGGATATAAAGATCAGATTGGGTCAAGCAACCATAGATAATGGGTATGAAGATTAGATTGTGCAGATTTTCAATCCGATAATGGGTTTTTGTATATGTATGTATATATATGATTTAATTAATGGGTATTTTTCAGAGCTTGTGTCGGAAGAAGCTGGTGATGATGATCTCGGTGATGTGGGAAGTGTGGGAACATCTACTGCTGCTCACATCCATCATCACCTAGCTCGGAAGAAGAAGAAGAAGAAGAAATAGAGAGAGAAAGGTATTGATTGAGGGTTGGGATGAAGTCGACTCTAAGGAGAGAGATTAAGGGCTCGAATGGAGTCGACTCTGAGGAGAGAGTGAGTAGCAAGAAATGGTTCAAACTTTGAGAGAGAAACGAGAAGTGGAAGGTAAAAAAGAAGAAAAAAAAAATTCAAAATCAAAACGATGTTGTTTTATAAATTCGGGCCATTCGGGGAAATTTTTTTCGAGCTATAAAACATTTCTCTAAAATATTTAAGTCTCTGCCAACGTAATATATATATGTTGTTTTTGCTGAAGCATGGTACGACTGCTATACTATAATATTGATTTGTCTTCGGTAACAGTGTTGGAGAATTACAATTGGTGACTAAGATTTGTCAAGGCTTTGTACTTGATTTGTTCATGCTTCTACTGCCTTTGATTTGAAGCTGATTTGGGTTATTATTTTGGGTCTTTTACAACTCTACTTTAAAGACTTTTGTTTGTCTATTTGGTGAGGTTTTTGCTCTTAATTCTTTGGAATTCACCTAAGTGTGATTTTGTGAGATCATTCATGTCTCATTTGTAATCATTTAGAAATTCTTTGGTTGATAGTGGAATCGAATTTCGATCTCGTAAACGTACTTTACATTGAGGGAACCACGTAAAATTTTTGTGTCGCTATTGTTTTAATTTTTTCGCATTAGTTTTTATTCCCATTGATTGATTTACTTGTGGAAAATTATCTATTTTTCCTAACAACTGGTATTAGAGCTTACGGTTTACTTGGGTTTATTTATTTGTGCAAATCAATCGAAGGGAATGTGGGTTGCATGTCTAGCTTCAATGCAAGCAATTGGGTAACTTGAAAATCTAAAATGGAGGACCTATTCTTTTATAAAGATTTGTATGGACCCATTGAGGGTGATAGTGATAAACTCGATGGTATGAACTATGATGAATGAAAGAGGCTTAATCGAAAAGTCATTGGTGTTATTCGTCAACGAATTGATGATAGTGTGTTTCATCATGTTGCTACTGAAATTTCGACACATGATTTATAGAAAAAAAATTAGAAAGTCTTTAGGATAGAAAATCAGCCACAAATAAAGTTTTTCTGTTTCGTAAATTGGTTAATTTAAAATATAAAGAAGGCAGCCCTATTTCGGAATATTTGAATGAAATAAAGAGTATTGTTCACCAACTTGCTTCTATGAAAAATGTTTTTGATGATGAGTTGCAGATTTTGATGCTACTTAGTTCTTTACCCGAAAGTTTGGAGACTTTGGTTGTGACGGTTAGTAATTCTTCGCCCGATGGAATTGTTACAATGAGGCAAGTCACTAGTAGCTTGTTGAATGAAGAAATTAGAAGAAAATTAGCGGGTTCTTCTCATTTGGAAGCATTTATGGTGAGAGGCCGAAGCAAAACAAGGGGAAGGAGTAAGACTCTTCATGGTCGTGATTAAAGCCGTGACAAATCAAGAGATTGTTCTTTTTCAAAGAAAGACATTGAGTGTTATTATTGCTATGAGAAAGGGCATACAAAGCGAGAATGCCGAAAACTCAAGAATAAGGAGAAAATGCGCAACAAAAGTGTGGATAGAAAGCAAGAATACATAACGGCGGTTACGATCGATGGTGATATCATGGTTGTTTGTGAAGATGATTGTGTCAATTTTGTGGGTTAAGAGAGCAATTAGTTGATTGATTTCGGTGCTTCTTTTCATGTGACTTCTCGAGTTGATTTTTTTACTACCTACACCAAAGAAGATTATGGTTGTGTTTGAATGGGTAACGAAGGTTTGTCTAATATTGTTGGCATGGGTGATGTTTGCTTGGAAACAAATTTGGGCTGCAAGTTATTGTTTAAAAATGTGAGGCATGTTGTAGACATTTACCTCAATTTGATCTCTATTGGAAAGCTAGATGATAAAGGCTATAACAACAAATTTGGTGATGGAAAATGGAAACTCACAAAGGGTTTCTTGGTGGTGGCTAAGTATAAGAAGACTTATATACTTTATTTGATGTAAGAAAAAATTTGTAAATGTGTTATCAATGTGTTTGAGGATAATACTTCTACCGAATTATGGTACAAGCGGCTTGGGCACATGAGTGAAAAGGGACTGCAAGTTTTGTTCAAGAAAAAGCTTCTATCCAGTTTGAAAGATACGCATCTTAAAACCTGTGTTCATTGCTTGGTGTTTAACATAGAGTTTCTTTTCATAAAATGTTATTTATAGAAAAGAAAATATTTTGAAGTTTATTCATTCGGATGTTTGTAGTCCTTTGAAAGTTAGAACGCAGAGTGGTGCACTTTATTTTGTTACTTTCATTGATGATTATTCAAGGAAAGTTAGGGTCTTTGCATTAAAAAGTAAAGATCAAGTTCTAGATGTATTTAAGCATTTTCAGGCCATGGTTGAAAGAGAAACAAAACAGAAATTGAAGTGCATCCGAACAGACAATGGTGTTAAATACATTGGGCTATTTGATGAATATTGTTGCAGCCAAGGTATTCAGCATCAAAAGCCAGTTAAGAAGACTCCTTAACAAAATGGTGTTGCCAAGAGAATGAACCGCACCATTGTGGAAAGAACAAGGTGTCTGCTTTCACATGTTAAATTGCCAAGATCCTTTTGGGGTGAGATAATGAGGGCAGCGGTTGACGTGATCAATTTGTCTCATTCTTATCCTTTGAGTGGTGATGTTCCCGAAAGAGTTTAGACCAGCAAAGATGTGTCTTATCAGCACTTGAGAGTGTTTGGTTGCCGAGCCTTTGTTCACATTCCAAATGATGAGAGGCCCAAGCTTGATAGTAAGTCAAGAAAATGCATTTTTTTTAGCTATTGGCGTGATGAATTTGGTTATAGATTGTGGGATCCAGTTGATAAGAAAGTTATTCGAAGCCGTGATGTTGTGTTTCTTGAAGACCAAACAATTGAAAACTTTGGCAAATGTGATCAACTGGAGCAAAAAACTAGTGACCTTATTGACATGGATCTATCTCCTTCATATTCAGTCGATGATGAAAATGAGGGAGATGTGCAGTCACCTCTTGAAGATGTAGATAACGATACTACTCCAAATGAAGTTGAGCTTGAAATTGAGGAAGAATATCTAACTCAAGAATCACCACCACAACTTGGGTTGAGAAAATCTACAAGGGACAGGCAACCTTCGAAAAAGTATCTTCCCAATGAATTTGTGTTGATATCCGATCAAGGAGAGTCCGAGAGCTACCAAGAAGCAATTGAGCATGCAAAGAAAGATGATTGGAAAAAGGCCATGGAAGAGGAGATGAATTCTTTACTTGAAAATCACACTTATCATTTAGTGAAGTTGCCTAAATGGATGAAGATTCTAAAAAATAAGTGGGTCTTCAAATTGAAGAATGATGACAAGAATCTGAGATACAAAGCACGTCTTGTTGTGAAAGGCTTTGGGTAAAAGCAATGTATTGACTCTGATAAGATTTTCTCGCCGATTGTAAAGATGTCTTCTATTCGGGTTGTACTTGGCATGCCTGCAAATATGAGCCTTGAAGTTGAGCAACTTGATGTGAAAACCACATTTCTTCATGGTGACCTTGAAGAAGAAATTTACATGGGGTAACCAGAAGATTTTGTAGAGAAAGGAAAGAGAAATTTGTTTGCAAAATAAAAAAAAGTTTGTATGGCCTCAAGCAAGTCCTGTGGCAATGGTACAAAAAATTTGACTATGATGAATAATAGTTTTTCTATAACCACTATGGACTATTGTGTGTTTGTGAAAAAATTTATGGATGGTAAATTTATTATTCTTTTGCCTTATGTTGATGACATGTTAATTGTGGGTTAAGATTACACTATAATTAATAGGTTGAAATTGGAGTTGAGAAAGTCTTTTGCTATGAAAGATTTGGGGCTGACAAAGCAAATACTTGGTATGAAGATTGTTTGTGATCGCAAAAAAGGGCTGATTTGGTTGTCTCAAGAAAGCTACATTGAGAAAGTTCTTTAGAAGCAAAACCGGTTGGTAGTCCACTTGCGGGTCACTTCAAGCTTAGTTCGAATCAATGTCCTATAAGTGAGAAAGCCAAGGAAGAGATGTTGAAAATTCCTTATACTTCAGCGGTTGGTTTTTTGATGTACGCCATGGTTTGTACAAGGCTAGATATTGCTCACTCCGTTGGTGTGGTGAGCCGTTTTCTTTCTAATCTGGGTAAAGAACATTGGACAGCAGTAAAATGGATTCGAAGGTATCTTCGAGGGACTTCGAAGGTGTGTTTGTGTTTTGGGGATGGTAAGCCGATACTTGATGGGTTCACATATTCTGACATGGCCAGTGATGTTGATTCTAGGAAATCTACTTAGGGGTATTTAATGACTTTTGCAAGGGGAGTTGTGGCATGACAATCTAAATTACAAAAATATGTTGCTCTCTCAACTACTGAAGCTGAATTTATTGCCATTACGAAAGCTTGCAAAGAAGAGTTATAATTGAAGAAATTTTTGCAAGAATTAGGTTTAAAGCAAGAAAGGTATGTGTTTTATTGTGATAATTAATGTGCTATTCATTTGAGTAAAAATTCTACTTTTCATTCGAGATTGAAACACATTGATGTGAGATACTATTGGATTCGTGATGTGTTAGATTCGAAATTGTTAAAACTCGAAAAGGTTCACACGGATGATAATATTTTGGATATTTTGGATATGTTGGTTAAGACTCTGTCGAGGGACAAATATTTGAAGTGTCGAATTTTAATGGATGGTTGATGTCTCCACCTAAGTCGGTAGAAGAAGAATTGTTGGGTATACCTCTTTATTGGAGTATGGGACCCAATTGGATTATTAAAATATTTAATTTGGTTTGGTGTTGGTTATGATATATTTTTAATATATTATATTTAATTTTTGAAGGTCCAATGGATATTTAATAATTTATTTGGTGGCAGCTAAGGTTTTTATAAAAGCCCAAGAATCAATAATATATATATTGTTTCTTCCGAAGCATGGTGCGGCTGCTATACTATAATATTGATTTGTCTTCGGTAACAGTGCTGGGGAATTACAATTGGTGACTAAGATTTGTCAAGGCTTTGTACTTGATTTGTTCATGCTTCTGCTGACTCTGATTTGAAGCTTATTTGGGTTATTATTTTGGGTTTTCTACAACTCTGTTTCGAAGGTTTTTGTTTGTCTATTTGGTGAGGTGTTTCCTCTTGATTATTTGTGATTATTTGCAATTTACTTAAGGGTGGTTTTATGACACCATTCATGTCTTATTTGTAATCGTTTAGAAACTTTTTGGTTAATAGTGAAAACGGATTTCGATCTTGTGGACGTACCTTACATTGAGGGAACCACGTAAAATTCTTGTGTCGTTATTGATTTAATTTTTCTGCATTAGTTTTTATTTTCATTGATTGATTTACTTATGAGAAATCATCTATTTTCCCTAACATTATCCGTAAGTACTCGTAAGACTAAAAGATAGTTATCTCTCTCTAAATAAAAACATTATGAAATTATTCATTGTCATATATGGCAATATGACAAAATTTAATGTTATTTTAATTTAGTTTTAATTTGAACCACTAGATTATGTAATTTAAGGTGTATTTTTTTCAAATTTCAAGAGAAATTAGTGTAATTTACCTAAATAATTAGTAACATATACAAATTATCATGTTATTATGTGTCCGTTCAATAATAAGGAGACGAATGATTAAGAGATTCAATAACAATCTTGTGGAGTGTAAAACTTGCCGCACACTCATTGAAAGCAAGTTGAATTTTGAGTCCCTTAAATTCTGCAAAACAAACAAGGCCGTTAAAGCCATCCTGATTAAGTGTTGATCGGGAGAGTACTTTTAGTGTCGAAGTGATAATCTGCTGTCTTTATGACGATGTTTTGAGGCTCTTGTTATTTCATTGTAGTTGGTTGATCAAGATAATCTTTCGTTCTCGACCAATTTCTTATGCACGCCCCTTCCTATTTGGCCCAAAAGGGGTTTGGGCTTTTAGTCTTTAACCATCTTTGGGTCAACTTCTTTGGGTCAGCCCGAAGTAAGAATTTTAGTTTTTTTAACAAATGTATATCCTACTATTAAAGAAGTAACCCGAAAAGGAAAATGTTTGAGACCTTAAAAAAAAAACACTCACAATTCTATCATAATGATATGCCATGATAGGTGTTAATTTTTGATTTGTTACACACCTAATGATTATTGGCCCAATTCTCTTGCTACGTTATTGTGGGTGAATTTATAGGTCAAATGTGTGAGTCTCTAACATTATTCACCAAAAAATACATCATACTTGGTACAAGGCAAGACAAGTCTTTCAAACACAGAATAAGACACAAATATCTCATGATGGGTGGGTCTCGCATGATGTGGGATCCACATGTAAGATCCACCATTTATGAGATATGTGTTTTGTCTCTATATTCTTAACATTATTCATTGAATAATTTCACGTTGAGTTATGATCCCTGTCCAAGTAAGCTAAATGCTTCTTCGACTATTTTAAGGAAGGACAGGTATTAGACCACAATTGTAAATATATCATGGTCCAACCACAACTCTTGCCTAAATCAAACATGTGTCCCTCCCTCTCTTTCCCTCCCCGCCCGATAATGATACATCTCCCATTTTAGATCCCCAATTTTGGATCCCAATGACATGACAAGTACTCATTAAATAGTTTTTATATTTTAGTGAAATTTTTAAGTGATGTAACTTATGACACATCATTTGAATTGATTTGGAAGTCCAAAATTGAAGCTCCAAAACATTTTCTTATGTTCCCCACACCTTTCCATAAATAGCTCAGCACATTAATCTCTCCCCCTAAGTCACCCTTTATTTCATCTTGCATTTTGTAGGGCAATCAAACCAATTAACTTCCATTATCTCCTTTACCTTCATGGAAGATAACTCAATCATTGCCACCACAGCCCCAACCACCGCAACAAACACCACGAAGCCTCCTCTTGATGGAGAGAAGACGATCAAAAAGAGAGGCTCATTCAGCCTCATAAAGGCTGCAATGTTCATGGTTCGCTAAGGCGCTTCATACAGCAAATCATCATCCAAGCCCGTTTGTCACGACCCAACCCCAGGGGCTTAGGGTTAAAATCGCAACTTACTAACTTATCTTATTTGTAGCAAATTAAACTGTGCAAGCGGAAATAAAAATAATTAAACAGGAAATTACTCAATTTTACTATTTTAATAAGAGAAAATACATTTATAGGGCTTTTATTATTTTATTATTCAGTGACTGGCCCTGAGTAGAACAAAATGGAGCAAATATATATATATATATATATATAAAAGAAAGACAAAATAGTGGTTCAATATCAATCCTCGTGCGGGTTCCATTACGTGCGGTTATGGGTTTCCCTTACATCTCGTCACCTGAAATGGTAACAGCTACAAGCACACAACAGAGTGAGAAATATTATGCCAAGAGTATAGAGAATACAAAATAACCATGGATAGTTAGTTAAGCCAAAACATTTACATAACTCAATTTGGTAAATAAATCATTTAAGTGGTAGAAACTGAAATACATAAACTATATAAATAAATAACCATAATTACGGTACAGAACAGAACAGAGGTCACAGAAGTGACAATTGGAACAAAGGTCAATGGATCCATGACAAATAGAGGACCACAAAGTGGCCAAATAGAGGCCAATGGTTATTTAAGTCCCCCAAGGCGTGCGACTCCCGTGGTGGTACTTACAAAACATAATTGTTTATAAAGTCATAGTCAAATATTCTTTAAAATTTAAACAAACATATCCATGGGTTTCATTTTAACAAATAGAGTTCAGAAATTAATCCACGTAATTGAAATATTTATGAAACCTAACTTGTATTAATATAACTAATAAAATACAACTTGTATAAAATAAATTATGATAAGTCAAAACATACGTAAAATTTATTATGGAAACTCAAGGTATAATATAACTCACCTTAAGATTGAGTCTTACTATTTCCTTCCTATTTTTCCTATCTTCTTGAGATCACTTCCTTCCTCCTTTCTATCTCTTTCTTTTCTTTTCTTTTTTCTTTTCTCCCCATTCCTTTATGTAATTCGTAGCCCCACTCTCTCTTACATGTACGCAACACCTGATGCCTAACAAATGGTGACTCACCTCTCCTAGGGCCTAGACAATACAGGTGG